TTTAATATACAGCCACACTATGCTTTGTTGCCTAAAAGCACAGTGACTTAAGCTCAGTGGGATTCCAGGTAGGAGGCGGGAACATTGAAATGAAAAGACAAGGGGATGGTATGGTGAGTGTTACGTTCAACTCATGACACTGCCTCTAGAAAGCTATCTGTGTTCTTTATAAGGTAAGTGTGAACAACAACTCTGAGGGGAGCTTGCAAGGGTAATGGCTCTTTCCTCAGCCTTGCAAGATAGTGCTAATTGACACCCTCCACAGATCAGGTTGAATATATCCTTATATCAAAACTCCAAATGACAGTTGGCTATACTTGGCAAATACTGCTCTTCAATTTTAACTCTTTTAGTTATTTCTGAAAAAGAACTGAGATCATACTGTATATGAATCAGTTATTGGTAGCAGTAAGTGCTGGGTTAGAAACTGAGCCTCAGCCAGCGTATGTCCAGCTCCTTACAGAAATTGTGTGTTCCCAGGAACAAAAAAGCCAGCATCTCCCAAGAATCTGTCAGGCTGAGTCTTGGGGACCTTAAGAAATCAACAATCCGGCCTTCTTGATAAGCAGCACAAACTGCACATACTCCAGGAAGAAAAAAGCCAGTATTTCCCAAGAATCCACCATGCCGGGACTTGGGAGACCTACCAAGAAATCAATGATCCAGTCTTCCAGGTAAGCACTGCAAGCTGCGTGCTCACCAGAAAAACCAGTGTTTCCCGAGAATCCATCATGCCGGGTCTTGGGGGACCCACGAAGAAATCAATGATCCAACCTTCCTGGTAAGCAACACAACCTGCACGCGCTCCAGAAGAGAAAAGCCAGCATCTCCTGAGAACCAGCTGTGCCAGGTCTTGGGGGACCCACCAAGAAATCAATGATCCAGCCTTCTTGGTAAGCAGCGCACGCCTACCTGCAAGTGAGCTGAAAATCAACTGAGCCCCCCCCCCCCATTAGCAACCAGGTGGTTTCGAGGACAGCCTGAGTTAATAGCAACTAAGGTACATAAAGCCACTAAATACTTGTATTGTTTGGTTGATTATGCAAGCCTGGGGCCAGCGGTCTGAACATCTCTCTGGAGGATGACAGTATGCAATATGGGAGATTTCATTCTGTCTTGTCTTTGAAGCCCAATACTGTTTTCACTATTTTGCTTTGTTCTGATTAATTGTTTTGCTTTGTTCAATATTCTGTTTCAACTGGTTTATTGTGTTTTATTTTTGTTTGATTTTGCTATACCTGATGGAATGGAAAGCTATTGTGAAAATAACAAGATATAGTATGGTAGCTATTACTGTTTTCCTGGTATCCTACTCTGAAATTCTGCACCAATTTGGCTGCATTGTCTTGATTGGCTTTGTTCTGTCTTGATTTGTGGTATTTGATTATCTTGAAAATGAAATAAAACAAATTAAAAAAAGAAATGATGTGTTCTGTGAACACATTCTATACATTGTACTTTCCCCAGAGTAGACCCAATTGTTTGGTTTTCCTGGATAGATAGAAGAAGATTAGAAGTGTCCCCAGGATCTCTGGAAACTGAGTCCCAAGAACATAAGCCTTTTCTTGCTTCATTATGGTGGTAGACTCTTTGGTCTTGATGGGAGGCAGTAGGTTACAGAGAACTTCCAAATGTGATCCCCAGTCCAGTAACATCACCATCAGCTGGGAGCTTGTGAGAAATTCAAAACTTTTAAGCTGGCACAATGAAAATCTAGACATATTACCCAGCAATCTGTTTTAACAAGCCTCTGGGGAATTTTAATGCACAGTAATGCTTAAGGATCACTGTTTAAATGTAAAACATCCAACTGGGCACAGTGGCAAATACCTGTTACCCTAGATGCCAGGAGGACAACAAGTTTGAGCCCAGCCCTGGCAACTTAGCAAGAGCAGGTATCAAAATAAAGCATATATATATATATATATATATGTGTGTGTGTGTGTGTGTGTGTGTGTGTATTTTTGTAAAGGCTGAGGATGTACATCAGTGGTAGAATGCTTATGTAACTGAGTCTGTGGGCTTTTTTATTTAAGAGAAAAAAATACAGAAAAGAAAAACAAAAAGCAAAAGAGACAACAACAGCAAACCCAAAATAATAGCAGTATAGGTTTACAAAACAACATGATAGAAATTTGGCAATGGTTGTAATATTCCATATTGTTACCTTAAAAAAAAAAGTTCCTGAGATTACCAGATATAGACTTATAAAGTTGATGTAATCATATAAGTATTCTTTTCTAAGAAATAATAATACAATTAATAGTATAGTCATTTTAGCTATCTTATGACTTTAGTTTACTGCATTGTCGTAGACATGGATCTAGTTTTTAGTCTCAGCATATGGAAAGCCAGTTTTCCCACCACCACCACTTATTGTTTCATTAAAGAGGCTATGTTTCTTCTAGTGAATGTGTTTGCCATCCCTTTGTCAAAGATGAGATGGATCAGTGTATTTGTAGCTGTGACTATATCTTTTAATCTGTTCCATTGATCTTCAGATCTGTTTTTGTTCCAGTACCATGCTGATTTTATCATAGTAGCTTTGTAATATTAATTTCAACTCAGGGATTGTGATGCCTCCTGCTTTACCTTTGTTGTCCAGAATTGCATTTGCTATTCTAGGTTTCTTCTATTCCCAGATGAATTTGAGGGATGATTTCTCTAGATCTGTAAGGTTTGCGAATGGTATTTTAAATGGAATTGCATTAAATCTGTATAACAAGTTTGTGAGAATGGCCATTTTCACAATGTTGTTCTTCCTATCCATGCACAGGGAGTATCTTTCCATTTTCTGAAATCCTCTCCGATTTCCTTTTTCAGAGTAACATAATTTTCAATGTATAGATCTTTTACTTTCTTTGTTAGATTGATTTCTAAGAATTTCAGTTTTTTGGATGCTATTTTGAAGGGTGTGGTTTCCCTTATTTCTCTCTCAGTGAGTTTGTTGTTTGCATACAAGAATGCTGTTGATTTTTGAGTGTTGACCTTGTATCCAGATACATTACTGAATTTGGTTATTACATCTAGAACTCTTTCAATGGAGTTTGGGACATCTTCTATGTAGAGTATACTATCTTCTGCAAATAATAACAATGTCTTTCTTTCTATCCTTCTCCCTTTTATTTCTTTCTCTTGTTTAATTGCTCTGGCTAATGTTTCCAGAGCTATACTGATTTTAGGCTGAAAGCTTTCAGTTTTTGTCTATTTAATAAGAAGATATTGGCTGTTGGTTTATCATATATGGATTTTACCAGATTGAAGTAGACTATTCTGATTTTCTGTAGGATTTTTATCATGAACAAGTGTTGGATTTTGTCAAAAGCTTTTTCTGCATCCATTGAGATGATCATGTGATTCTTTTTTTTTTTTTTTTTTTGTCTTTTTTTGAGACAGGGTCTCTATGCAGTTCAGGCAGGCCTTGAGCTCACTTTGTAGCCCAGGCTGGACTTGAACTCGCAATGATTCTCCTGCCTCAGGCTCTCGAGTGCCAGGATTACAGGCATGAGCCACCATGCCCGGCTATAACATCTTTTTTTGTTTGTTTGTTTTTTGTGGTACTGGGGATCAAACTCATGACCTCGTGCTTGCCAGGCAGGCACTTATGCCACTGAGCTAAATCCCCAGCCCTCCTCATGTGATTCTTATCCTTGGCTCTGTTGATATGCTGTGTAACATTATTGATTTGCATATGTTGAATCACTCCTGCATTTCTGAGATGAATCCCACATGATCACATATAATCTTCTTGATGACTTGTTGCATTCTATTTGCCAGTATTTTACTGAAGATTTTTGCATCTATGTTCTTTAGAGAGATTTGTCTGTACTTTCTTTTGGTTGATCCATTCTCTGGTTTTGGTATTAGAGTAATACTTGCTTCCAGGAATGAGATAGGGAGACTTGCTTCCCTTTCAATTTCATTGAAGTGTTTGAGGAGTGTTGGCATTAAATCTTCCCAAAATTTCTTGTAGAATTCAACTGTGAATCCATCAGGACCTGGGCTTTTCTTTGTTAGTGATATTCTAAATATATTTTCAATTTCGTTAACTGAAATTAGGTTACTCAGTAGTTTTACATCTTCTTGATTCAGCTTTGGTGTTTCATATGTTTCTAGGAATCTGGTCATTCCTTCTGTGTTATTGAACCTATAACAATAAAGGTTTTTAAAGAAGGTATTGATGATCTTTTGTATGTTTGCAAGGTCTGTGATGATTTCACACCTTTTCATTTCATATTGCATAGATTTGAACTTTTTCTTTTCTCTTTGATAAGGTTGGCTAGGGTTTTATTAATTTTATTTATTTGTTCAAAGAACCAACTTTTTGATTCATTAATTCTTTGTATTGTTTTCTTAGTTTCAATTGCATTGATTTCTGCTTTGGTCCTTATAATTTCCTCACTTCTTTCGACTTTGGACTTGGCTTGCTCTTCTTTTTCTGGAACTTTGAAGTGTAGTATTAGGTTGTTTATTTGTGTGTTCCATTTTCCTGATATGGGAGTTTACCGCTATAAGTTTCCCTCTGAGGACTTTTGTCTTTGTATCTTACAGTTTCCGGTAATTTATATTTGCATTTTCATTTGATTGTAGATATTTTTTAGCTTCTTCTTTAGTTCTTATGTGAGCAATTGGTTGTTTAGGAGAGTGTTTTTTAATTTCCATATGTTTATGGGGTTCATTTTGTGTCATTACTTTCGAAATTTTTTATTGAATTATGGTTAGATAACATGCATGGGATTATTTCAATTCCTTGCATTTACTTAAGAATGTTCTGTGGACTAGTATATTATCTATTTTAGATAGTGACCTATGTGCAGTTTAGAATAATGTGTATTCTGATGTTGTTGGATGAAATACTCAATACACATCTACTAGGTCCATTTGTTCATAAGTTTGATTCAGATTTGTTATTTCTTTGATGATTTTTTGTTTGGTTGATCTGTCTCTTTGTGATAATAGGGTGTTAAGGTCCCCAAATATAACTGCATTATTTTTTTTTTCAAGAGACAGCGTGAACACAGTCCCCTGCTACCACAAATTACACAGTCGATTTTCCCACATTTAGGGAAAGCACAGGGTTCAGCACATCAGGAGTGAAGCGGATAAGCTGCGCCCTGGAAGAACCAGCTTTATGATCATGGTATCTTCCTTGCCAGGTAAATAACTGTATTACTGTTTATTTGACTTTTCAGGTCTATTAAGATTTGTCTTACCCAGTTGGGTGCTCCCACATTTGAAGCATATTTATGATTATAATCTCTTCCTCCAGGTTTTCCCCTAACAAGGATGTAGTGACTTTCTGTTTCTTGCTCATTCTTGCTTTTTTCTGGGTTCCTGTTGCATGGAGTATTGTTTTCCATTCTTTAACTTTTAGTCCATGAATTTCCTTTTGAGTTAAATATGTTTCTTTTGTTGGATTTTCTTTCTTTCTTTCTTTTTTTTTTTTTTTTGTCTTTTTCGTTTTTATCAGTACCAGGGACCGAACTCCTGACCACACACTTGCAAAGGAAGGCACTTATGCTGCTGAGCTAAATCCCCAGCCCCTGGATTTTATTTCTTAATCTACCTTTTCCAGTCTGTTTCTTTTTATTGGTGAGTTGAGACCATTTACATTGATGGACATAACTAATATGTACTGACCTATCCCTATCATGTTATCTTTCTGTTCTCTTTCTAACTTTTCTGTTTAATTGTTTGCTATGCTTTGTGGTTTCCTTCTGCTGTTGTTTTTGGGATTGTAGTTATCTTTGTGTCTTTCTAGAGTGTCTTTAGTATTCTTTGTAGTGTTGGTTTGGTGGTTATGAATTTCATCAGTTGTTGTTTATCATGAAAGTATCTTATTTTTCTATCAATTTTCAAAGATAGTTTTTCAGGGTACATCAATCTGGGTTGGAAGTTGTTTTCTTTTGGAACTTTAAATACTTCACCTCAAGCCCTTCTTGACTTGAAAGTTTGTGTTGAGAAGTCTGTTGATTCTTACAGGCTTTCCTTTATAGGTGATCTGTTTCTTTTCTCTGACAGCTTTTAGTGTTCTGTTCTTGTGCTGAATTTCTGATATCCTAATTATTATATGTCTGGATGAGATTTATTTTGGTTATGGCTAAATGGGATTCTGTATCCTTCACTTATCTGTATATCAGATTCTTTTCCTATGTTTGGAAAATTTTCTGCTTTCTTTTCTGTAAATATTCATTGTATTTCATTTGTTTTGACCCTTGCTTTTTTGTTGACACCTGTCAATGTTATATTGTTTCTCTTTGCACCATGTTGCAGCTGTTGAATTTTTTTTTTGGTTCTTTGTTAATTTTTAAGAGATCTTTTCTTTCATGATCATAAGCTTCCATCTTGTCTTCAAGGTCTGAGAATCTATCTTCAGCTTCATTCTAGCAGTTTTGCCAGCTTTCAGTGGAATTTTTAATGTCCTGAATATCCCTTTGAATCTGTTTCAGGTATCCTAATTTGGTCTTACATTGTTCATTCAAGGTTTCCATCATTTTCTTATATTCCTCTATTTTTTTAATCTTGATCTTCCTCAGATACACACAGCATTTCATTGATAATGTTTGTGATTTCTTTTTTTTTAGCTGAGAGATTATTTCTGATCTGATTTCCTCTATAGTTCCATGGAGTTATTCTTTACTTAAGTTTTTATCATTCCAGAAAGTTCAGTTGTGCAATTTCCAGTGTCTTCTATTTCCATGTCTCCTGGATTTTTTCTCAGTGGGCTGGAAGACTGAGATTACATCTTGCTGTTTGGCTTGGTGTTATGGTTTGATAACTAGTGGTCAACTTAACGCCAGCTGGATTACATCAGCATGCATTGAGAGAAGATGCTCCACCTGAGAATGGTTGCCAGGATAAATAGGTGGAGAAGAAGAGAGGTGTGGAGAGGGATTGAGGCGTTATAGAGGCATTGTTAGTTCTCCTACAAGTTGCTGTCTGAGCTGTTGGTTGTCCTGGAGAAGCTTTGGTCTTCACATCGAGCATTGCTTCCTGGCTCCGGAGGGGAAGACATTTGCTGCCTGGTCTCCAGGGTGAACTCCTCACGCTGCTTCCTGGCACGTTCCCGACTGTGCTTGTCATTGGAGGAGCTCGGGGCCTCCGTGTCGCTGAGGACAGCTGTGGTTCCTTTCAGGACAGCCCCGCTCTTTGTTGTGAGTGTGACTTCTCAGCTCCAGTGTAGAACCCTCATCCCACTAGCACAGCTCCTTCATCCTGCTGGCATGAACTTTCTGGCTTCCACTGCTGACCCTTGGGTCTTCCCGGCACGAATCCTTAAAAGAGACTGGCGTGAGTCCTTGTGGGCCCTGGATTTCCAGTTGGACTCGTGGAGACGTTGTCCTGAGCTCTGGGTTTTTATCTGGACTCATGTGGGACATTGCCATGGGGTTTAGACTCTTGACCAAATAATCTATGTCGTTGGTGTTGCGGATAGATTTCCTGCATTCTCCTGTGTTAACTTTCCGTGACCATTATAAAAATATTATAAACTCCATGTCCTGACCTGAGTTGTTCTCTGTGTAATAACCCTGGACTACAACACTTGGTCATTTCCTTCTGGGACTCTAGTGGCTATCCTGGCATCCTTCCTATGGTTTGCACTGGAATGCTGTGCTTGCAGAACTTCAATTTTCTGATATCCCCATGGCTAGCTGGGGTGCACCCCCAAACTATAGTGCCAGAGCCTTGTGCTCTGTGACATGTGAGGCTGATTGGACATCCCCCTGATGGACTACACTGGGTTGCACTGGGATGCTGGGTTGGGCAGAGCTTGGATCCTCCTTGCAACTAGCAGGAATGCATTCCTGGAGTGTTTGATGGGCCCTAGTATCTGGCTTGGTAGAGTTCAGAACCTCTGGAACCAAGGTGGCTTGCAGTGATGCACCCCAGAGTGTGTCACTGGGGCCTAGTGCCTTGCTGGGTGGATTTCAGAACTTCTGTGACTGAGACACCTAGCCAGAGCACGTGTCCCACAGTGTGGCACTTCCATGGCCTTGTGCCTGGCTGGGAGGAGTTCAGAACCTCTGGATCACATGGCTAGCCTGAGCATATCTCTGGCATATGGTGCTGAGGCCTTCCTCCTGCCTGGGTAGAGTTTGGAACCTCTAGGATCCACAGCATTGTTAGCTGGGTCACACCTTTGAACTATGGCACTGGGCCCTTCTGCTCTGATGGGTGGAGCTTCAATTCTCCAGGACCCATTATCTGGGCTGGTTGCTCCCTGATGGGCTGCTCTGGAGCTCTGGGATAGGATGGGCTCATTACCTCTGTGACCTGTGAGGCTGGCCAGCCATTTCCCTGATGGACTGTATTGGGTGTGATAATGGGCTGGGCAGAGCTTGACTCCTCCATGCAGGTAGCAAGGATGTACCTCCAGAGTGTAGTGCCAGGGCCTTGTACCTGGCTGGCTGGATTATGGAACCTCCAGGACCCAGGCAGCTAGCTGGAGTGCCCCTGGAGTATGGCACTGCTGGGGCTTTATGCCTGGCTGGGAGGAGTTCAGAGGCTCTGGACTGTGTGGCTAGCCTGGGCACACCTTTGTTGTATGGTGCTGGGGCCTTGCTCTTCTGTGGGATTTTTCTAGAAATTCTTTCCAAATTCTTGTTCTGAACAAAAACTGGAAATCACACAAACAAAATGTAGCAAGGGTTTACATTTATTAGAGGTAGGAAAAGAGATATGTTCTGCAGAGTGAGTGTGGGCCGCTGAAAAGGTTCACAGTGATCAAGAGGTTAATGACCATCATGTTTTGTGCCCCCTATTCCTCATCAGATCTAGTCTATGCTATCAAAAACCTGCTTAATCTCACGCCAGAAGAATTGAAGAGGACAGTTTTTGATTGATTCCAAGTCCAGGGCTTGGGAACGGTTTCTCTCTCTCTCTCTCTCTCTCTCTCTCTCTCTCTCTCTCTCTCTCTCTGTGTGTGTGTGTGTGTCCTGAATCTTCATGATTGATAGTCATGTTCACTTGCCCATGCAATTTGCCACACCCAAGTCTCCTGTCTCAATTCCCTAGCATGAGTGAGCCCTTAGGTTCAATCCTCAGTCAAAAGAGTAATAGTGGAAACATAGGCATCTGTAAATGGGCATCTGCATGGGGTGGAGCATCTGTAAAATACACATCTACATGCAGTGATGCACATACAGCACTTGGCACAGTATGAAACACAAAATTAGGATTCATTATTATAATATGGGTTATTCTGAATAATCATTATCATTTCAAACAAAATTGGATTCCTTCAAGAAAGGCCCTAATTATAAATTTAGAAATCAAATAGTTCATCTTTTTTATGTTGACTTTTCATTTTTACCTGTCTCTCTGGGCTGGTTTTTTGTTGTTGTTGTTGTTGTTGTTGTTGTTGTTTTGAGACAGGATCTTATTGTGTAGTCTAGGCTGCCCTGAAACTTGCTATGTAGCTCAGATTGGCCTCAAAATTGAGATCCTCTGGTGTGCTGGGATTACAGGCATGTGCCACAAAATAGCACAGTTTCTTCCCAGAATCATGGAACATAAAGTTGGGGAGGCACCTGAAAAGCAGTCTAGTCCTTCGATCACATTTGATCTGGCAATGGTTCACTACATCACATGAAGTCTAAATTCCAGCATAAAATTCTCATCCAAGTACAGATAATGTCTCAGTGTGGAGCAGAATGTGGGATAGATATCATTACTTTGTTTCTCTACATGTAGTGAGGGATGAGCCACCAGTGCTGGAATGCTAATAATATTTGTTGTGGGAAAATTCCCAAGCCAAACCAAACCAAAAGGAAGACTCTACACTGAGGAGATAAGAAGGCAGTTTTTAGTCTTTACACTGGTGAACTGTTGGATCTGCATGCCAGTGGACTGTTGTGGGATAATTCCACAAAGGCAATAGCCCTGAGTTTACAGAAATCTTAGCTTATATAGAATTTAAAAGTGGGAGGTACAGAGCAAGTGAAAAAACACTATATAATTGGTTGCATGCATTGAGTCATATATTGACAGGTGGGCTAGTCTTGAACAGATTTGTTCAAAGGAATTATTTATAATAATATAGAAACACATCAGAAGCAAAGAGAAAGAGCCTTTACAGAGTGAGCATAGTTAAAGTCATTACCATAATATAGAAACATTCAGGGGAGAGGGTCTTTACAGAGTGAGCATAGTTAAAGGTATTAC